GAGATGTATAAAGACCACCAAGCCCAATCACTCTCTTAAAATACAATCATATTATCTTTTATTTTTAAATAGTTTTATTGACATAATTCACATATCATACATTCCTGTAGTTCAATCACATTCTCCTTTCTCTTAATTAACAGCGTGGTCCTTGTCACCTTTTCCTTTTAAACAATCCTCATCCTCTTCCGTGAAGAAGTAATTCCTCTTTCATTCGAATCCCACTCTACTCCCGCTCTTGGGCCCACTGCTGTCCTCCACTCTGCCCGTCCTGTCTGTCTGTTTCAGGATGCTCACTGCATGGTGAAACTCTTGGCCCTGCTGACTCTTCTTCTCTTTCTTCTGTTTTGGATCGTCATGGTTACGCTGTACCTATTCCAAGCACTTCCTCCGCCCCACTGATTTAGGAAGGGAGAAAAGCAGCGATTACTATCCCATTTGAAAGCTGAACAAACGGAGACAGAGACTTGGTGACTTTCTGTGTGCCTGCCCGCAGTGGCTGAGCTGTGACTGAAGTCCTTGCTGGAGCTCTGTATGCACTAGGGAAACATACTTCCGGACTAGATAAGTTGCTTACTCACAAACGTTTATTTGTTTTGAGAATGATGATGGCAACAAATGTACAGATGTGTTTGATGCAATGGATGTATGTATGGATTGTGATAAGAGTTGTATGAGCCCCCTAATAACATGATTTAAAAAAAAGCTTTCTTTATCCACATAAGCAGTCTGGGGGATGTGCCTGCCTGTCTTCCGTGTTCTGGAGGAAGACCCTAACAACCATCCTGTTCACAGTGTCTGACTTGACAGGCTGAGAGTCTAGAGGTTGTGGGGTAGTTACTAACGAGGGAAGTCTTTCTTGTGCTCTGATAGATGATTTCATAGAGATTAGTTGGCCTTGGCATTCTATTACATGTCTCTCTGAGTGGAAAAGAGGAAGACGAAAGGACATGTTTAATTATAAGGCCAACCTTAAGATTCCTGTGCTCACAGAACTGTCCAGCTGGAGGGAATTACTTAGGAGTTCAAGCCTGTGCCTGAGACCTAATTGCCACTACTTCTTGCCCTAATGAAGTTCTGCTTTTATAAAGCCTTGTGAGGAGTCTTTTTGATGCTCTAGAGCACTGGTTCTCAACCTTCCTAACGCCACGACCCTTTCATACAGTTCCTCATGTTGTGGGGACCCCGAACCATAACGTTATTTTCATTGCTACTTCATGACTGTAATTTTGCTACTGTTATGAATTGGGCAACTCCTGTGAAAGGGTCGTTCGACCCCCCAAAGGGGCGGTGACCCACAGGTTGAGAACCATTGCTCTAGATCAAGAATCAGGATGTGGCCCGTTTACTTACTTTAAAAGGAGGGTGGGGAGCCAAGAAGGTATGTATCCTAACGAAGATAACAGTTAAGGTAATGAATTAACCCACAGAATCATCCCACAATAATCTGACTCCAAAGAGACACATATTAAGGAATAAAATTTCAGAGCTCGTTATCGTTGCCACTCAACTGAGTGTGGGCTCCGGTCAAGGAGCTCGAAGGGCTTAAGTGAAAATGCACCAGCAAGACGGAGCCAATTGCAGGAGACTCCTGCAGACACCTCTTCCCTCTTGCTGGGGAACCTTCAGGCAGGGTCAGCCACAGTCTGAACTATTATTAGCTGACGCTTGTCTCTGACAAGCTCCCCTTCCCTTTGTGGACCTCCTCCTTGGCTTTCACGGTGCCACTCCTTAGTCTTCACTGAGTTCCAACTGCCCCGAGCCCCCGTTTGGACACGCCTGCTTGTTCACAAGTGCCCCAGCCAACACCAGCCCATCTCTTATAGGCCATTGGTTGAAATGGTGGTGGTGGTTGTTGTCAGCTGACATGGAGTTAGCCCACCACTCATGGCGGCCCCTTCCTGGCACAGTCGAACAAAATGCTGCCCGGCCCTGTGCCAGTCCCATGATCGTGAGCGCGTCAGGGCGTTCGGATCCTTAGGTGGCCGGTTTGCAGAAGCAGATGGCCAGACCTTTCTTTCTCATCGATCTCAGTCGGGAGGCTTTGCTGAAACCTTCCCAGCATTGCAGCATCTCACAAACATCGCAGACAGATGCCAGGTGGCTGGGTGTAAGGTGCATTGGCTGGGGATTGAGTCCAGTTCTCTCATGTGGAAGGTGAGGATTCTACCAGTGAACTGCTAATGGGAAAGGACCCCAAACGAGTTCATACTCAAGTCTACCAAAGAACTAACAGTCGAGACGGGTCAGTGTGGTCTACTTGTCTTTCTTTTTAGTTGGTTTCTTTAGAGAATAAGTCCCTTAAGGCAAAGCAAAGCCTTGGATGGTGGTGGTAGATCAGTTCTACTACTGTAGGCTGTGCTTCGAGAAGAGTGATGTACAACATCTTGGTGACTTTCAGTAACAGAAATGTATTTCTCATTCCCAATTGGGATCAGGGTTCTCTGATCTCTGAGCCGCTCAAGGCCCCATGTTCCAAACACTGAGGAATAGCCACCAGTGCCAACATTGCTAGTTGTGTTTACTGAGCCAGTGGGAAGAGACCGCTAGAGAAACTCAATACAGGCTTTGGCTTGGACATAACAGATACATCTGGAGGGGCCTAAGAAAGCCAAGCCATGTTAACTGCCCTTACATCCATCCCTCTTTTACCCCCAGGAGCTAGCATAGAACTGAGCGCAGCAAAGGTGGTACATGGTTACTGGCATGAAGGGATTTCCAGAAACTGGTTTCTCTGGGGTTTTCCTTGGCTGTCTTCGACAGAAATAGCAGAACCTGTCAAGTCGTATCTAAAACCTGGAGGTTTCTCTATTTTGTCTAGTGTCCCTAAGATATTAGCGGTAAAGCGTTCAGAGCTCTTTCTTTCTTTTTTTTAAAAATAGTTTTACTGGCACACAATGCTCACATCACACACCCAACAGTTCAGTCACATCAAGAAGAGTTGCACAACCATCCCCACATCCATTTTAGAATATTTACTTGTCCCGGTACTCATCGTCACTAGCTCCCCCTTTCCTCCCAGCCTCTGCTGCCGTACCCCAAAGAACCATCAATCCAGTTACTGTCTCTAGAGATCTGCCCATTCTGGACTCCAAATACAGAAGGACACTTTAAAAAAGAAAAGAAAAACTAACAACAATAACAAAGTAGAACAGATTTAAAACTCAAAAAAAGAGAGCAGACAATATTGAAAACTAGAACTAATTAAAAATGAATCAAGAGGAAATCAAATGATATGGTGTTAAATTTTAACCTAATTGCATCTGCAATAATCCACTTTCCCATGCATTTTGAATGATAGCAAGGCTATTCACATCCCTTACCAGAAGCTTAATCAACAGGGATATTGCCTTCCCTTAAAAAAACAAACTTTTTTAATGAAACATTTTTAAATGGGTTGTGTTTATCTAGGTATACTAGAGAAACAAATCCATGGACACGCATGTGTATAAGAAAGAGATTTACAAACAAGAGCAACTGAACATTGAGAAAACATCCCAGCCCAGTCCAGATCAAATCCATAAGTCTGATACTAGCTCATATTCCCAATATCCATCCATAAAGTCCTCCTCAGACTCACGAAACACATGCAATGACGCCGAATGCAGAAGATCACAGGCCAGTGGGTAGAGAGTCTTTGGATCCAGTGTCACTGGAAACATTTCAGTGCTGGCAGGGGAGGCTGGCTCTCTGTGGCTTCTCTGGCTTCCGAGGTCTGGTTGCGTGCATGTGACTTGTCTTCTGCAGTGTCTCCCAGGGAGTAGCAGAGAGACAGGTGTCTTCTGCCTCCAAGGAGAAAGTACCAGATTTCCCAGAATTCTCAGGAGAAGGTCATGCCCACAGAGGCCTCATTTGCTATCTCCAGATTGACAGCCTAGACTCCACCCCTACACTCTTCATCCTTAAATTGACACCAGATTACGTGACTACCACATGGGTCAAAAGGGAGATCAGATGATAGATATTACATTTTAATATAAGTACTACATTTTAATATAAGTACATCTGCCATAATTGACTTTCCAATGCTGTCCGTCCGCGTGCAAACAGTTTTGCGTCATAGGGGGACTTTGTGGGTGGTGAAGTTTTAGTAAACATGAATTACAGTCCATAAATCCCACAGAAACAGATTGAGGAAGAAACGAGTAATATGTAAAGCCCAGCAGTCTTTCTCCCATTCAGCTTACTGAGCTTATGCTTTTAAGAAGGTGTGAAACGGAAACCTGCCATCTTTGTTTCTCAGCGGAACACAAACTCGCCTGACTGCGTGTCCCTCCACCATTCCGAGGCGAGTTGTTCTCACCTAGAGTCCGTGTTCAACTGAGGAACAAAGACGTGGTACATTGCATGCCATTAAGCCATTTGACACTCAAAGAGCTAGTGATTCGTTCTGATGCTGAAATCACCGAAAAGCCATATAATTGTCTCCAAAATGGTATCATTTTGACTGCATGCTTTTTGCCAAGCAACCCCAAATCTGTCACCATCAAGTAGGTTCCGACTCGTGGTGATGGTGAAGAATTGCTCCTTAGTGTGTTGAGACTAAATCTTCATGGGAATGGACGACTGCATTTCCCCCTTGAAGTCGCTTGATGGACTTGAACTGATGACATTGCAGTTAGCAGCCTGGTGCTTAACCCATTGTGCCACTAAGCCTTCTTTTTGCTAATTTTATAACCTAGGATCCTTTGTAGAACAAGGCGGCCTTGCATTTTTGTTCTTCTTTGGAAAACTAGACATCCTTGTCAGACCACCAATTTTCTGTAGTCTCCCTGTTTTATTTGAGGAAGCTCCTTTCTCTCTGTGTTTGCTGTTTCCGCCCATGAGTCAAGCGTTAGTCTGAGACCTCTGTAAATATGCCAGGGCCAGGGCTGTTGGGTATTGGAATGGACCTGATGCTGTGGTGGCACGCGGGTGGCATAAGACCCAAGATGAGACAGAGCATGCGTGGTCGAGATCCTGTTTTGTGTGTAACACTGGTTCTCCATCCTTCTCTTCAGAGTGCCTACCGCATGTTTACAAACAACACGTGTTTGAAGCACATGATCACCAAAGTCCGGCGGGACACCCACCACTTTGAACGCTACCAGCATAACCGGGACCTCGTGGGATTCCTCAACATGTTCGCAAACAAACAGCTGGAGCTGCCGCGGGGCTGGGAAATGAAACATGATCACCAAGGCAAGGTAACTGGAGGCTCGCGGGGGTGGGGGTGCTGGTGGCTCTGGCAACTGGCTCTCCCAACCGCTTTGTGAGGCATGCAAGCAATGACCTGTTCTGAATCCTGTGGGGGTGGACAGGTGTGAGGGGACTTGCTTAGTGAGACATTCTCTGCGGCTGTTCTCCTACCTCTCATTTGTCACCATTTTCTACTGAGCAGGGAAAAGCCGTGTTAGGCAAGGACACTTCCTTCCCCCACGTTGGGTGACTCTGAAATTCACATGACAAGGTGGGGTGTTGTTTGGGGAAGATGGCAGGGGGTTCCCTGAACCACTTCACCCTGTGTGCCCTTTGAACACAGACAGTGACCTGATCTGCCCTTCCTTTGCTGTAACCAAGGGGCTGTGATACGAGCCAGAAGTGAGAACCAGGAAACGTAGTTACTAGGTTTTCCTTCACTAAGGTTTTATATTTGTTTAACTCTTATTTAGTGCTGACTGTCGGGTCCCCGTGGGTCAGAATCGACTCATGGGCAGTGAGTTTTGTGGCTGGGTACCCCTGGTATGAGCCCGGTATTGCTGTTGGGTAAGTGTTGGACTGCTTAACACGCAAAGTCGGTGACTCAAACCCATCAGCCATCACATGGGAGAGAGACGAGGCTGTCTGCTCCGGTAAAGATCTACAGCCTCAGAAACCCTCCAGAGAGTCACTCTGAGTCACAGCCAACACAGTGGCAATGGCCCGCTGGTGCTGTGTGTAAGCGCTCAGCTCCTAACAGAAAGGCCATCCATTCGAGCTGACCAGTGAGTCCCAGAGAAAAAAGATGTGGCTGCGGCACCTGTGAAGACTTACAGCGCAGGGAACCCTGTGGGGCAGTTCCCCTACGCCAGTGGTTCTCCACCTTCCTCATGCCACCACCCTTCATACAGTTCCTCATGTGGTGGGGACCCCCCAGCCATACAATTATTTTCCTTACTACTTCTGTCATTTTGCTACTGTTATTAATCGGGGGACCCCTGTGAAAGGGTCATTTGACCCCCAAAGGAGTCGCGACCCACAGGTTGAGAAGCGCTGCTCTAAGGGCAGCCTGATGCGTGAGTTGCTTTAGCTCCCCAGGCATCAGTCTTTAGTCTTGTTCTTGAATGCCCACATAATTTTGCTTGTACCATCTTATGCCATTTGTCCCCATCTATTTCGTTTCTTTTTCCCTCTTCAGTGTATATGTAAATTTATTCAAAAGCTTTTGTTGAATGGGAAAATGGTTGAATGGCAATGACTTTACATTTGGAAGGTACTTAAGTCTCCAGCCAGAGAATGTCGTGGAGAGTTTTAAATGTTCTTAACCCATCTGTTTCATAGGATAGTTGTTTTAACAAATTTCATCTTCCCAACCAATCTGTTTTGGAGAGATTTTTGTTGTTGTTTTTCTTCTTTTTTTGAATTTTGAATGACCCTCCTCTGCCCCAATGCTGTTTATATTTGAGGTGCTCAAGAAAGATTTGATGGATGAAACTTATCACATGTAATTTTCTGATTGCTCCGTAAACTCAGCTTTGTGCAAATGAAGGCAATGCTGCCAAACTCCCTGATCCAAGCTAAGGCCTCCCTCCCTTCTGTATCCGTGTCTAGGTTGGTTTCATTTGACCTCTAATAAGGCATACGTTGTCTCGGATTTTTGCATTACGTGTTCGAACAAGGCAGTGATTATGTCTGTGTTTGCACCTGAGCTGTCTTCAATTCTGGAAACCACCTTTTTGTTTGGTTTGGTAATTCTGTAATTCCAAGGGTTTTCATTGGTGAGATTTCACAGGACTCTGGATCTCTTAAGCTGTGTTTGTGGGTGGTAGGGGGAAAATATCTGTAACTCACATAAAAGAAGTAAAACATTCTTTTTAAGATGAACCATTAATTAAAGACTAAGAACAGAATATTAGGCCTAGTTAAGACGATGATAATGATGATGATGATACCTGGGCTGGTTAAACTCATACCATAAATTAGTCACTGTACTAGGTACCTTTCTATGGATTGTTTTATTTACTTTTCATGGAAATGTATAAATGGGTACTATTATTATATGCTTTTTACTGAAATTAGGGTTGTTCAGTGACATATGTATTAGTGAGTAAGTGGGGAACCAAGATTCAAAATCTGGGAGTGTGACTTTTAATTACCACACTTATCCAAAAGATAATTGTGTTTGTTAATGAGAAAGACTTAAATGGACCTTCATTATTCCCCAGGAGAAGCGTTCCAGGCCAGATGTTAGGGTTGTGGTATATTTTCAGGCCGAGACATACATGTAGGTCCGTATTAGGTTGCAGACATGCCATCAGAAATACATACATAGCTTCATGCTTCAATACCACAGAGACATGTTAGCGGCATGCAGTGTCATGGAATTCACATGTATTAGAGGCTTTTTATATGTCTGTCTAGGCTAGAGGGGTCATGTTAGTTCATTTAATATTCACAACAACCCTGTGAAATAGAGCTTACAGCAGACGAAGAAACCAAAGCTCAGAGTGTTTAAGTTAACTGCGTGCAAGTAAACCCAGTGCAATAAATCCAGAGATGTCTCCAGTCAAAGCTGTAATTATATTCCTGTGCAAAGCTAGTCTAGACCTTACTTGTCTACTCATCCCTTGACTAACTTGGGAAATATTTAAATTCCCTGAATCTGAATTTCCTCATCTGTACGAGTTAATCTAGGCTGATCACCTTTTCTTGCATTTATTAGTTACGTCACCTTTTCTGTTGACTCTAAGTAAACAGTGCCTCCCCCAAGTTCACAAAGACTGACTCCTAGCTTTTCTTCTAAGCGTTGTAAAGCCCGTCCCTTCTCTGCACGGTCAGTCTGTGGCGCGCTTTGGGATCTCCGGGGCCTGCAGCTCTCCGGTTGTAGCAGCACTGCTTGTTGAGAGCCTGTGATTTCCCCCTGAAGTCTCTTTAGTCATCAGGGGAATGCACACGCAACGCAGTGTGTTCCATCCCACACCCACTGGGATAGTTATACTGAAAAGAGATTGACAGTGACAAGGGGTGGCAAAGATGTGGAGCAATATCAGACTACACTCACTATACAGTCTCACTCCAATATTGTAGGTGGGAATGTAGACTGGCGCAGTCACTTGGGAGCAGTTGGAAGTTCCTCAAAATGTTTTAAGAATTGTTCTATCGGGGGGTTGGGGAGGGATGGGAAGGAGGGGAAAAATGAGGAACTGATGCCAAGGGCTGAAGTAGAAAGAAAATGTTTTGAGAATGATGATGGCAACAAATGTAAACAATGGATGTATGTATGAATTGTGATGAGTTGTACAATCTCTAATAAAATGATTTTTAAAAGAAAATAAATAAAACAAAACATGTATGTGCATCAGAAGAGTTAAAGAAAAAAAAAAGAATTGCTCTATGATTCAACTTACTTCTCCAAGGCATATAAGAAGGCTTCAAAAACTTCACATAAAAATTCCATTATCTTTTATTTTCACTTTTCTACAAACTGTTTGAGGCTTCCTCACAGGGCAACAGAAATGAACATGTGTCTACACAAAAACTTGTCCACAACGGGTCATAGCAGCATTGGTCACACTACCCCAGAAGTTGAAACAATCCAAATGTCCAATCAATAAAATGTGGTAGGTCCATTTTATGAAATCTTATTTAAAAATTACAAGGAAATGCAGGCCTCAAGGAAATACAACATGAGTGACACTTACAATAATTTGCTAAATTAAAGAAACCAGTCACAAAAGGGCGCATACTATGCATTCATCATCTGGAAGCTGGAAGCGGGACAGCTACAGGGACACAAAGTAGATGGGTGGTATGGAGGGCTGGGAGGCCGCATGGGGCGTGACTGCTCGTGGTGTGGGTTTCCTTGGGAGGAACAAAAGTAGTCTAAGGTGTGATTGGGGCGGTAGTTGCACAGCCAGTAAAATGTACCCTTTAAGTGGGTGAATTCTGTGATACTTAGTTTATGTCCCAATAAATAACTGTTAAAAATAATAAATTGGATTGTAGGAAGGACAAGAGATTCTTTTCTTTAGACTCTGTAGCTCTCTGATTATTTAGTCTTGAAGGTTAGACAATATGGTTCCATCCTGGATTTGATATTAAGCATCTAATGTTTTCTTTCTGCAGGAATAGTTAATGACGCATGGAAAGGTCTTTTGTTCAAAATCCTGATGCATCTTTTAGTAAGCGTTTTGTTACGTTGCTTGATTTTCATAGTTATTTTAATTTTAGGATGTTGAGACTGACAATTAAGCAAAGATTGATTTTATCCAGGATTGCCCTTATCAATATCTGAGTCTGTCTGCTGAATCTGAGACCTAGGATAAAGGACACATCTTAGCTTGCCTCATTTTGAGATGAAACATACAAGTAATTATCTTTTTGGCAGTGCAAAAAGAGAATTTCTGCTGGTGGCTTTTAATGGTAACAATTCTTTTTTTTTTTTTCCTTTTAAAAAAATCATTTTATTTGGGGCTCATACAACTGTTATCCCAATCCATACACACATCAATTTTGTAAAGCACATTTGTACATCGTTTCTCAAAACATTTTCTCTCCATTTAAACCCCCGACATTAGGTCCTCATTTTTCCCCTCCCTCCC